TGCTGCTGCTGCTGCTGCTACTACTACAATGTTACTACTACCACTACTACTACTACTACTACTACTACTACTAGCACTACTACTACTGCTACTACTACTACTACTACTACGACTACTACTACTACTACGACGAGGACGACGACTACGACGACTACGACGACGACGACGACGACTGACTGCTACTGCCACTGCGACTACGACTGCTACTACCACTACCCTTTCTAGTACTGCTGCCCTAACGACCCCTACTACTTGAGGTGGGATGCTGGGCAGCAGACTGTGGATGGCTGCTGTTTTTGTTGTTCATGTCATGATGTAGTGTTAGAGGCTTGAGGAATGTCACGACACTCCTAGCCGCTATGGGTGCCAAGGACCACACGCCAGGAGACAGGACGCAGCCGTGGGAGTCGGTTCGGGGCTCGGTCTAAACACATACAGAGTCGCAGGGCAGCTCGCTGGAGTTGTACTTCATGATATTCGTTGACCGAGATGGGGCTGGCGGCTGCTCTCACCAGAAACAGCGAACTCATATCATCACGATGCAACACGCTGTGCTGTTATCCGGCAAGCCCACTGGGTGTGATGTTTCCAGCCTCTTCCTTGCAGTTTGCTTCCGTCGACACGAGCCCTCAGGTAAAGATCCCGTCGCCAGCTCCTGGGCCAAAGATGTGCCAAGAAAACGTTTTAATGGGAGGCTTAACTAAGCTTCAAGATTCAGGTGTCGTGTCGTCGTAGGATGATAGTTCGGTTTACATGTCAGCTCTGACGCGACATTGCTGTAAGAGTTTCTTGCTTTTGGAATCTTTGGGGCAAATATCTCATGGCAGCAAAGAAAGCCGCCACAGCACTGTACAGCTAGCAGTGCTCCTCTGTGTATCTACTAATTAGGCCTCACTTGTTTTAAATCCTTTCCACACGTATATAGACAATACATTGCCCGTCTTTGAGGGTGTCGGCAGGTCTGATACTAAGGGCGGCGTTGGCATAAAGCACATTCTGAAGTTGATTGACTCGTCCGCCAGGAGCAAAGCCCGCTCTGGTACAAGTACTAGTTCAATTTCTAGTACTGGTACTGGCACTGGCGTTGGTACTTGTATCTGTGACGTAGGTACCTCCTCCTCCTCCTCATCCTCATCCTCTTCCGGCTGCCCCTCCTCCTCCTCTTGCTCCTGCTCTTGCTGCTGCTCCTCTTACTACTCCCTCACCTCCTCCTATCTTTGTTTGCTCCAACTCCTGCTGAATCGGCTGCTGCTTTTGCTCCGAGGATGGTGACAAGGTCGATTATACAATGAGCGCCTTCCACTGCTTGAACGGCGTCGTCACCTATTTAGCCAAGGCCTGGGCCTTTTCATTTCCCAGAACAACAAACAGAAACTGCTTGGAAAAACTTGCCGTCGAGCGCTCAACACAGGCACCCCGTGATCGGGGGAGTCAACTGTGGAGAGAGCAATTACGCCAGCCATCAGTTCCGAACCTGAGAGTGGTTGGGTTCACACACGTACACCGCAATTGTATGGTCGTGGTTTGAGGCCGAAAGGTATGTGGGACAAGCTTCCGGGAGAAGTTCAGCAGGCGGTTTGTCATAGCAGTTCAGTATCGGTGGCCCGCACTTCGGATGTGTCGAAACCAATCGTTTGCCTTCCTTGCTGACATGTGCTCCGGCAATGCTTATCGAGCAGGTGTCCGGTTGCACAGGGGAACCATGTAGTCCGAAGCGGAAACCAAGCAGCAGGACAAGAGGGAGCTCCGCGTCTCCAAGATCTTTGGCACGTCCAGCGCAGACAGCGCCGCATGGCTCCCAGCTCCGGTGTGCACAGCTTCGGGGTTTGCGCAGCCTGCGTGCCGACCGTAGAGGTGGGAAGTGCCAGAAGTTTCAAAATCACCTTGCAATCTCCACCGTCTATGCCCAGGAAGTCGTGTCGTGCGGCGAGGACGAACAGATTGAGACCTTCGTGGTGATGCCAAACGGCATGACCGTCCTATTCATAAAACCTTGTTCAGACAGGTGAACAAGGCTTTATCTGAACAAAGCATGCTCTGTCATCACTCGACCTGCATCGTTTCGCTGCGGACCAAAAGCTACGCGGAACTGCAGGGCAGGGTGCCGTTTGTAGCCTTTGACTGTTTATTCTCGGGGCCGGGACATGACATGCCTCAATGAACTCAAGAGCGTTCTGAAAATTAGCCTTCGACTGGGAACGTACTGGGAACTTGTATGACCCAGGACCTGAGTGTGCAAACTTTCAGCGACTTTCCATCAATAGCAGCTTCCATCTGAAATTCCTTTTGACCCTTCAGCATCCGCTTCGTCCAGAGAAACCTGAGCCCAAGGTGTGGTTGACATCCTTCTCAGCCTGTTGCTGGCCACGTCAGGCTCTGGGGCTTAAGCTTCGCTCCAAAGCGCTTGAGACACCAGCATTCTGGGTTGAGGAGGGAAGAAGTGAATGCTTGGGCCACCTTTCCGGGCAAAACTGCCAGTTCGGCTTCTGATGCTGTCCTTGCGCCAAATGCAAAGATTGTCACCGATTGCAGCAACCTGGAGGTCTGTATAGCAGTTGTTGTACTCGTCCATTGTCGCGGGAGGAGCCAGCAGCGCAAAGACGGCAGAGCTCCTGCAAAGCTTCGTCGAGGATCTGGTGAAAAGGGTTTGCGAAGCCTATCTTGATTCACAGGCTCATGCTGTGGCTCTAGCGACTCTAGCGGTAGAAATGTTGCTCAAATGGAACACCCCAGAAGCTGGAGGGGGGGAGGGGTCGGCTGATTAAGTAGTACAGCACTGTCCTTTCTGGCAGTTAGCACCGTATCAGTGTTAGTACAAGTACTAGTACTGGTTATTCGTACTGGACATTATGAGTGTTCGTATAAGTGTTAGTATTAGTCACAGTATTAGTGTTAGTATTAGCATTAGCATGTGTGTTAGAATTGGCATTGGTATTGTATTAGCATCATCATCAGTATCAGTACTAGTAATACTATAAATAAGTTTCTTCTTATTGTTATTGTTATTATAGTAGAAGAAGGTGTCTAGTATCAGTTTTAGTATTGGTATTGGTTTTTGTACTAGTGTTCGTATTCGTGTCATTATTAATATTGGTATTGGTATTGGTATCGGTATTAGTATTAGTATTGGTACTAGCATTAATATTCGTTTAGCAGAATTAGTACTAGAGCTAGAATTAGCCTTAGTATGAGTATGAGTATATTCGTATTGGAGAATTAATATTCGCACGGAATTTTGGTTTTGGTAGTGGTACTGGTATTGGTGGTGGCAGTAGTCGTAGCAGTCGTAGTGGTAGTGCTGGTGGTAGTGCTGGTGGTGGTGGTGGTGGTGGTGGCGGTGGGAGTAGTAGTAGTAGTAGTAGTAGTAGTAGTAGGAGTAGTAGTAGTAGTAGTAGTCGTAGTGGCAGTAGCAGTAGTGATAGTAGTAGTAGTAGTAGTAGTAGTAGTAGTTGTTGTTGTTGGACGTTACCATGGGCTGGGCTACAATGCACTGGCCAATGGATGGGCTGGCAGCATTGACATGGCACGATGCAGACCTGAGCTAGAAAGAAAGCGGGCAAACGAGGGCGATGGAGCCTAGAAGTAGCAGCAGGAAACCAATGACTTAGCCCTACAACATACTCTCCAAACATAAATAAACCTGGGTAGGGCTCGGTACAAGATTTGGCTCCAGGAGCTCGTCTCTACCGACAAGCACCTCAAAGACTTGCATCTTCCTTCTTTGCCGGGGCACTTGGCTGTGCGAGATTCCGAGTGGCGCGGATTCCTTGGGCGCTTCTCCCCTGAATACATTTATATGCTTGAATGACACGAGTATTCCGGAAAGGCTAAGAAAGGACAGCGCAGGATGTGTTTGACAGTCTACAGTAGAGAGAGAGAAGAAGAGAGGGAGAGAGAGAGAGAGAGAGAGAGCGAGCACTCTGCAGTACAGCTACCCTCCATCTGTCAAAATGATGGATGGGGTTGCGCCCGGAGCGCGGGGTGGCGGGCCTGCCGCACCTTCAAACCCCGATCAAAGCAAAGAGAGGGAGAGCGAGAGAGGGCGACGAGGCAGATGTTGAGTCGGCATTGAATCCCGAGGCCGATGGTCGCCGAGCCGCTTGGCCTGTTGATGCTTCAGGGTGCGGACCAAAACGCTCGCCCTTGAGGGAAGATTCAATGCAGGCTTGAAATCCAAGGCTACGCACCGCCAGTTCATTGCCTTGTGTCAGCATCTTTTTGCGCCCCTGGATCTCAGAAGTAAAAGATTCGGTCCTCTCCTTGCACTGCCTTTTGCACTGACCCCCCCCCTGGCCAGAGCTGCATCGGCTGGGCGACTCGGCACTGCGCTTCCAGCATTGCGCCGTGCGCTGGGGCCCCGAGTGTCTGTCTAAAATGCCTGTGAGACGTGTGGGCCACGGTGCTCGTGATCTTCTAGTTGTGGTATTTGCCAATCTGCCGAGACTTGAAAGTTGATGCAAGTCTGCCTCCGCAGCTGTACATAGGTTTCAAGGAGATCCTTTTGGGAGTATCGCGCTTACACCAAAACTAAGTTGCTATGCAAGTTGAGGCAACGATGCAGCTGCATTGTCAGGTAGGCTTTGTCTTGGGGCAAAGAGAGGACGAGTGACGCACGAGGGTTTCGATAGGCCACGGAAGGCTCGCCACCAGATCAAAAGTACCAGCAGAGCTCGGCCCCACAGATCGACCCCGATTGCTTGGCCCAATGGCGCGGACAGACGCAGCGGCCGCTCCCAGGCGGCGCAACAAGGTGGGAAAAAAGCCCTTGAAAGGAAGAGACTTGCGTCCTATGCCAAACAGGATGTTATAGTGCCTGCAGGTGCAGCCCCACCACGAAAATCAATCAGAAGAGCGCAACCCCTTGCTCCGAATTGCAGGTCAGCCGTGCTCAGAGTTCGAAGACTCGCCGGGAGCCATTGCGATTTGTTTCCAATGTTGTGATCCGCAAAATATTAGCAAACTCTTAGGCACCCGGATCAGAGGTATAGGCAAATCGCTTTCTGAAGCTGTTGCCGGAGCAAGTGACTGTAAGTGCTGCCTGATTCCCATTCAGAGTTTCTGACAAACCTGGTGCTCGAAACATCCCTTCGGTTGCGCAGTGCGCAGGACTCGTCGGAGCAGAAAGCGCCCCTCTTCCCCGATGTTCCAGGAGCCCTTTGGCCCGCAGCGGCAAGTGCACACCTGCCTCCGAAAGCTTGCAGACAAGGGTGTTCATCCCCCCAACCATCCCAAAGAGCAATTCGAGAAAGCATCCCCGCCTGCTTCTCCCGCCCCTTGTCCGAGGCCATTGCAGTTCTCCTGGCTTCGTCGCAACCCCGCGCGACCTCGCTGCCGGCCAAGAGCCGCAAGCCCAGGCCGCAGCCTGAGGGAGTTGCAGCCTTCCGAAATTTTGTCAGACGTCCGCAGCCACTCCGTGACATTCCGACTTCTGGGCTCTCGAGGCGCAAGGATCGCGCGGCCTCCCCCGAGGCCGAGGCCAGCGGCTCAGACCCTGGCGCCGGGGCCCCGGCTCAAGGGAGGAATCCGTTTTTTTTTTTTGGGAGATGACGGCCAGTCTCCTGAGACCACTAGCCACCCGCAGCAAGCACTCTTTGGAACAGCATGCTCCACCTCGCACGATGCAGACTGTCAGTCAGAGTGTGGTGATCTCACCGTCTCTCGGCGGAATCGGCTTGATCTTCAGGATGCCTCAGAACCCAACCAGCCACCAGCAGCAGCAGCAGCAGCAGAAGAAGTTGTCACGCTTTTTCTTCCTGCTGCTGCTCCAACTCCCCTAAGATGGTGCTTCCCACTTTTGACCCATCATTCGATGCTGGTAATCGATGCAGCGCTACAAGCTGTTCCGGGTGTACGAGGGAAAGACTTAAAGATGGATCGAATAATTGCGCTTAGTTGACATGTGCATGTTGTTTGAAGGAATGTCGTTGTGCTTTGTGAGTCTGACTGTCCAAGAGAATTGATAGATTGGGAGGCGTGCAGTGCAGTTGAATGCTTGAGAATAGTAGGCGAGGGGGTGTCTTGATTGTATACTGAACCTAGTGATCGAGATTTATGGCTGCCGTCGAGTAGAGGCCTCGCCGAAAGCTCCTGAGATGGGACAGAAGTCCACGCCGCCGGAGCCTGAATCTGGAGAGTGAGGGGAAAAGGGGGGGGGGGGGGGCGGCTTAGTGAAGGCTTCGTGTGCTGGACTTCGGGGCTCGAGTGGAGCCTGATTAACGGATATATCAATACAGGGCCCCAGACTTTCCTCATTTAACAACGTCGCACGTCATCTCCCAGCGAGGTGGCAAGTGCATGCCCTGCGCCTGGAGAAGCTGCTGCAGGAGACTCGCCTGTGGAAGCGAAGATTCCTCCACTCCGTGGAGATCGTCGTCGTCGTGCGTGAAGAAAGCGTTATAACGTCATGGTCCAGTCAGGAGACGGACGTCGCGCTGGTCGCGGAAAACACGCCCCTTGGCAGATCGCGGCTGATGTGAGGAGATGGGTGCTCGCTTGCATGGACCTGCCATCGGACAGCATGTCTGAAGGAGGGAGGTCATAGAAGGCCTAGGCTAGACCCCAAAACAAGGGCACTCCGAAACCTTAACAAGCTTGTCAGAGTCCAGTCCCCGCCCATTCATGTGGTTCCATTATACGTTGATCATTGGTGTTGTATGAAGAGCTGCACATCCGATGCCAGCACAAAGCTTTTCGGAGGTTTCTCTCCGTAGCCCCCGAGGGCTCCGGCGCAGAAAGGCGGCGCTTCTGGTGTGCTGATACTTCATGGGGTTTGAGCCGTTTGACATCCACACGGGGGGTTTAGGGTTGAGGCTTTAGGGTTTAGGGAAAGGAGAGGAAGAGGAGAGGGAAGAGGCGAGGGAAAGAATAGGGAAGAGGAGTGGAAGAGGAAAGGGACAGGAAAAGGAGAGGTAAGCTTTCTGCCTTGGGGTTTAGTGTTTAAGGGTTGCGGGTTTAGGGTTTACGGCTGAGGTTTAGTGGTCAAGGTTTGGGCTTCTAGCGCGTTTATCAGGGTTTGGTTCCTGTTACGTAGTGGTGTTCCTGAATGTGGTTCCCGTTACGTCGCGTGTTGGACCCTTACACGCTATACTCGACAATCTCGTGCGATTTCCTGCCTGTCTACAATCACGAGCTCCCATTCTGGCGAAAAGGCGTGAGAACTCCGCACCCCCACGCCTCCTTGCAGATGAGCCCCACAAGGCGGGAAGCTGTGCCGTGTTGAGTGGTCCTTCTGAGGATTCCGGAAGTCCTTTTGAGTGTGTGTTCAGTGATGGCGGCGATGTGCTGGGGGTAGCCAATCTTTGCGCTGCTCACTGGGATGTAGTTGCTTCATCGACTGCGAAGTATGGCGATGTCCGCCTGCAGCAGTGCGCCATGGAAATTCCTAATGATGTAGTATTTGATTTGCCCATCCTTTCCTCAACAGGTCCTTCTAGCATCCTTTAGCCTTGAACCTCTCGTGGCAGGCACTTGTTTTTGTGAGCCTTCGCACCTCGAGCTCCTCCAGCGACTGCGTTTTTGAACAGGTCCGGAGTGGAACAGCCACCCCGGAGTTGTGGGAGCACGACGCGACTCAGGACGGACAACTAGAAGCATTAGAAGCCAACCTGGAAGGGCAGGCGCATTACAATGACCCGGACCCTGCGCAGCATCCGCTGGCATCTTTCTTCCAAAGCTTGCGGCTTTGTATAAGAGATGCGTGCAATGCATGCCTTGACGAAGACATGGTGCCTTCCCGCGCGCTGTGTATGAATTGTAAGCTTCTCAGCGAAGACCACCTGGCCCTTGTCAAGATACTTCGCAGAAAGGAGCCGCAGGTGGTGCACAGCCCCCTGATGGCTGCAGTGCCCATCTCCCTTGCTGGCCAGGCTCGCTTCGGGTAGAGGGGGATCAGGATTCGGGGATTAGGAGCTCTTTCTGGCTGCTGAAGATTATTGAAGATTTCACAGGGGTTGATTGTAAGCTGGTTGGCACTTCCCAAGAATCCCGCCGTAGCAAAGCCAAGAAGACTTGGAGGAGCTGCATGGGCTGCCTGTCGCCTACTCCTGCCTACCGGCAGACTCTGGTGATCTCCTCCGGTGGCTCATGGCTGCTGGGCCCAATGCCTTCGAAACTTCCCCCCCCCCCTGCGAAAGTGGCCAGTTCGGAAGCCAGTATGAAGTGGTGGAGGGGCAGTGTCGTTACTTGTGGCAATCGTTTTGTTCCGGAGCTGGCTTTGAGTCTTACAGTGCTGGGTTGTGAGAATGCCAACCCCGGCCAACCCCCCTGGACGGCTGAGGATCATGCCATGAGAGGCTCAGCTGCAAAGACTTCGCGCATTTTGCGGCCTGTGTCGAATGGATCAACGGCGCGTGGGAACGCGACAGGGTTGTCTCGCTTTGCTACCTTACTCTTGCTGGCCCCCGTATCTCACATTATCTTGCTACTACTATGCATGTATAGACACATCTATGACTATCATTGCTTGCTGTCGTTTTGCTAGATCTTGTGCCTTATGGGGCCATGCTCTAACGAACTTTAGCGGCCACAGTCACTAACTACCTCTTGCCTCCATCGCAAGTAGCCATGGAGCTGCAAGGAAAGCTTTCAAAGCTTCCTTGCTTTATACTCTACTATATATATATATATACATACTATATACTATATACTATACTTTAGTATAGTATTTTGAAACTCTGAGGTTCGGCTGCTCGGATCGCCAGCCTCGAGGAGCGAGCCCGGATGCCCGCAATGCCGTCTCTCTCTCTCTCTCTCTCTCTGTCTGTGTGTCTGTGTCTGTCTCTGTGTGCCTGTTTAGCGTTTTTTTGTTTTTGTTTTTTTTTTGCGTGACGCTTCCAAGTTGCCAGCGGTCTCTTCCTTTCTGGCCACAGCTTTCAATCAGTTGGGGTCTCTTGGGCTACAGCGGTCCTCCGCAATCGGTGCTCAAGTCGTTCGGCACAAGAATGCTGTAAACAGGCGACCTCAAACCATGTGACTCGAAGCCTCGACGATGCAGGCACCCGTGTCGAAGGCGCTAAACTGAACGAAAAAGCGAACTGAAGCTCTGCAGATCCGGCGGGATCGGGATTTGGTATGTCCGCCATGAATCTCGAGGCTCGGTGGACGGCGTCCTAGACTGGCTCTTGGTAAGGGTCATACTCCTCAGAGTTTCATTCGGGGAGCATGATACAAACCTTTCAGTCGGAGCATGCTTAGTACAAAGCTCAAGGTGTCCTTGATATTTCGGAAGCATGATTTTTTGTGATGCCGAACCGAGCCGAGGTGGTCCATCTGGAGATGGCCAACAGCCAGCTCAGCAGCCAGCTCCACGCAGCGCTCAACAGCCACTCCTGGGCCGCTCAGTTCAGTTCTGGCTTCGGAGCGGGGTCCCGGGAAGCCGAGTGGGCCGATTGGGTGTGCGGGCTGCTCAATGTGGAGACTGCCCACCCGTACGACCCCGCAATCGATATACCTCAACTGTCGTGATCAAGTGCGAACCGCTTCGTGACACCCAGGAATGAGCTGCACCTTTGCAGGGCATTATGCCCCTGATGCTGAAGCGCTGAAGGATTTTTAGGGTTTTGGTAAAGTTGCTCTCGGGGCGAGCTGACCGACACAGCTGCGCTGTGCCCCAAAGAGTCTCCCTGCCCTACCAAACCGGCGACCTATAACCTTGGATCCCAAGCCACTACAAACATCCGACGGTGCCACAGAGTCTCCAGGGCGGATTTAGAAAGACCCGGCACACTGCTAATTACTCACGTTGGTGACGATTCTACCGGCTACCTTATGCATGAGTCACGAGCCTCAACAGTGTGGGTCTCAAGAGCACAGCGCAGAGGGGCTGCCCAAAAGGCCCTGGGAATGGTAGCCCCAAGTTACTCCCGTGTGCACAGGAAGTAGGTCTGTGTAGGTCCACCTTGGAGCGGCGGCATCAAGGGACTAACTTCGCACAGCCATCGAGCTAGAAGGCGGATAAAGCGGCGCAAGGCGTGTATGGGTTGGACCAGAGCTGGCCCGGTGAAGCCGCGATAAAGGTCAGAAGAAGCTTTGAGATCAAGCATCCTCGACTGCAGCTTGCATAGCTTCCGGGCTTCCTGGCTGCTCGGTCAGTATTTCTTCACGCGTAGTTAGGCCTGAGATGTTGAAGCCGCTTCGGCTCACCGTCAGTTGCGGGACCTCAATTTATCAGTAGCAGGTTTAGAGTCCCCTTACTGCTGGCCATGACATCGTCTGAAGCTTCATTCGCAAGAGCTTTGCTTATTCATCCAAGTACTTCCCACTTCCCACCACTGAATAGGCCTCTTCGACCTCGTCATTATTAACCCCGCTTGCTAAATCCACAAGCTTACCAAGCGCAGGCCCTTGCGAGCTGCCATCCAATACACCGTTCCACCAGACCAGCAACATCAAACGCCACCATGGTGGTGGCATGACCATGACTGCTACCAGGCGTTGCTACCAGACATTACCATGACACTCGTGCACCCCTGGCACTACTGCTGCCATTTTAGGATGTGCAGCGGGCGCTAGAGAATGTTCCGAGCCCAGAAAGAGGTCAAGCAGCTGTCGCCGAGCTATTTTACACAGAGTGTGCAGAGTAGTGGACGAGTCGGCAAGCTGTCTGCGTTATTCGATGTGAAGGTTCGACGTGATGCAACATACACAGATTTCGCCCACGGGTGCAACCAGATCAGCAGCCACATCCGTCCAGCCCTGGACAGCGAGTTGGGTCACGGTGCACTGGTCAGCAGCTGTGCGGCAGCATCCGCAGGAACCTAGTCCTAATCAGCGTCTTGTATAAATACAATGGTCAGTACCACCTGGGATCTCAAACATCCTGACAAAGTTAGTTGAAACTTGAACTTTGGCATCCCAAGCTCGTGCATTCCCGAAGGCTGTTGTAGATAGCTGCTGTCAGTGGCCTGGCGGTCTCAGAGAGCACGAGACCCCTCCACATGCAAGCACCGCAGTGATCGGCAAGGTCTAGTGGCTTTAGTTTGTGTTGTTGAAGACTTTTCTTCTATGATTTAGCCCATTGCAGGATCCGGGCTGCTTCCTACAGTTTCTCGGTTGATGACGCAGCAGTGCATGTTCTGCCCTCTCCAGCGGGCATGAGGGGTCTCGCTGTACAGATACATTGTTTCGGTAGTTCTGAGTTTGAGCCTTGGCGGACGGCCGGCTGTCCTGGAAGCCGCACAGCCTCGGAGCTCGGAATTTATCTGCACTTTGGGCCTCTGCTAGGCTTCCATGCAGCCTCCCGTCGCCAGGACTCCCACTCTTGGGGTGTCAGAGACAAGTCTACTACTAGTAGCGAGGCCAAGAACCCCCCCTCCCCCCTTTGCACTTACCTCTTTGCTCCATCTGCCTAGCTTCAGCACCAAGTGAATGTCCGGCTTGCGCTTCGTTGTTTGGGATTCGATCGTTTTTAGCGCCGTCTTGCCGACTGCCTTTTTGCTCGCCCGTAAGATTGCTAGCCAACGCGCTCTGTCAGCACTTCTTGGCACCCCATGCGGGTAATTATTCAACTCACGGTTGCTGAAGGGATACAGCTGCATGCCACTCGTCGCAGATGTTCGCTGGCGATCGGCAGGGGTGTCCCTCAATACCCAGCTGTAAGGTGTGACCGAAGAGTTGTCCCAGGACTCTGGACACTATGTGTCGCGGTCTTTTTTGTTGCGGTCCTTGCACCTTCCAGTTGTCAGAATCGAGCGCCAGGCATCGTGGTCTTTTGTGTCGCGAAGCACTGCTCGAGCTTCTGTGAAGTGCAGCGCGGTGTGCTTGAGGAAACGATCTCAGGCACAATCGGAGCTGGCACAGCGGCAAAAAAGCGTGGACGCGATTCATGTATCGGCCCGACAACTCTAGAAACACTCAAGCCGAACCTTTCAGGATAAGGGCAAGGATGGGCTTCACAAGGCTTCTGAAGGGAGGCCTCTCATGAAAAGCGCGTGGACCTAGACTGTACAGGGGTGACTTGACTTAGTTTAGGACTTCCTTTAGCCCCCTGCGATCACGTGGTGCAACCCCACCGGGCGCTGGAGGTTGGAGCCGCTGCTCAGGCACCTGTCTCCAGGCCTGGCACTGATCGGAAGATCCATCGAGCGTGGAAGTCGAAGTTCACCTGAGTGATCCACTAAATTCCATCAGTTTACAGTATAATGCCACACGTAGCTGTTGGCCCAGCGGAAGCCATGCGATCCAGGAGCCGTTCCAGAAAGTTGCTGGACACAACTACGACGAATTCTGGCAGATAGGCTTGTGAACCCTGGCGCAGCAGGGTTTTCAACCATGCTCGATACCGGTCCAATGATGTCTGATGTCCAGTGCCAGTCTGGTAGCTCTTCGCCTTTCGCTTGCCCGTGACTGTTCGCCTAGTTACCAAAGACGTTTGGGACAGAAAGAGCCTCTTCTCGATGCGAGGCCCGCGCAGATGGGCGAGGCCTCCTTATTGGCCTTTGCATGCCGAGCAGATTCCAGGGTTCAGGGAGCAGGCTTGAGTCTGAGAAGCACAGTCTGCCTTTCACCGTAGCATGCACGCCCGTGGTCAATGCTTCAACAGAGCAGTGCCACTTTGTCGTTGTCTCGATCCAAGGAACACTCGTCAGGAGAAAAAACACATAAACATAACATAAACTTTCCGCATGGGAACACCACAGTAGGGGCAGGTAGCCAGAGGGTCGGAAGGCAGATGCCTACGAGTTTACAGGTCCATCTTCTCGCTGCAGATGCATTCGGCATTGTAAGCGCTTGTTTCAAACAGGAGTCCCTGTTTCGTCCACATACACTCCATTATCAAGTCAAGCCTGTGGACATCCGGACGACGTCCCAGAAAAAAGGTTAATACTTATCTGCTGGAGAAGTGTGTGTTTATGTGCTTGTTCGTGCCCCTGACTGCCCCAACTCACGGAGCAGTAGACTTTGACAGCGACTGCTACTTCGGTACAGAGGTGCTGCTTCGCCATGAGGACAACCAGAACAGCAAGCCAGCGTGTGTGTCTAGATCATCTCCGCGCTATTGTTACTTCACCGGCGTCAGCCATGAAATTCCATGTGTCCAGGAGGCTGCAGAAGCTGTCAAGGAGGAGATGCAGGCAGGTCCGCGACCATGTCGTATGTCGTGAGCCAGGTGTCTGCGGCTATTCACTAGGGCGCATCTGTGCTGCATGTCGTGGTGTGCTTCCGAGCATGCATTGCTGCATTTGCCATGTCAGAGACAAGTCGGCTTTTGACCGAGAGATCGGCTTGTGCCAGGTGCCTGCTGCTGAGCTGGCCGAGCTCTCTGCGACTTTCCAGAAGCTGCACAGGACCCCTTGGCGACTTCAGCTCCAGGCTCAGGCTCATGTGAGCAGTGTGAAGTGGCTTGAGGATTACCACCGAGCTCTCCCGGCCGGTCCAGAACATGGATGAGGCGACCGGACGCTTCTCACTTCGGTGCAAGGGTTTTGACTTGTTGATGTCTTTGTCGATTGTGACGTGACTCCTCGAGGGTAGCAAGTCTCACACCCTCCCTGTCACCTACTCAGACTCAGAGCACCTGTTCTCAAACACGCCTCGGCCACAATAGCATCAAGTGCATACACGTTACACAGGTCTTGCTGCCGCTGCGCCAGGCAGCGCAGATACTGTTGCGACCACAGGCACGTCAGGGGTGAATGCTTTTGTGTCCTTCGGCAGTCTTCTTTATTCATGGTTCTTCATGCGTTCTACCACAAGTGCAAGTACAAGGGAACTGGAAAGTGCTACTACACGGTTTGCAAGGCCGGCGAAAGCAGGAGGATCTCACTGTGTTCTTTGCTTGAGAAGCTTTCTTTGCTGGGAAGTGCCAGTTTCTGAGTGCAACGAGCATTTTGTTGATGCTCTAGGTTTCGATCCAGGAATCGCATACATCGAGGTTTGACCCAACGGGTTGTCAGCCTTTGGTCCAGATCAATGAAGCGGAAGCAGAGGGCCCTTTCAGCATCACACACCTGGTTAAGCCTTCGAAATTAGGTACGTGACTTTAGCGAATTGCAGAAAATCAGGACATTTGCGGCATCTCGGTCTAAGGAGCCATGAGAATAAGAGCCCCTTTCGATTCGCGCTGGCCCGGCTCCGACGCTTCAGCGAAGCTCCGGAGGCCCATGGCCCACTCCGCGGCTTCCTTCGCCGGCTGCGCCTGCGCCGCGGTGCCAAGGCGGGAGCCGGTTTACACAGACTATAACATTTCTGGCGAAGAGAAGATGAACATGACAAGGGGGTAGTGGTATACTTGATACTGGTTTGGTTAGTTCTTGTGCTGTGACCTCAAATTTAGTTCTGTTGGTACACTAGAACCTAGAGTATAGTTGTGCATACATGAGAACTGTAGTATCTCCGCGTTCATGGAATTGCGACGAGTAGAAAGAAAATGGTAAAGACAGTTGATGTATGGTGCCATGCTAGCTGGGCTCGCAGCTGACTTAGCAGGGCCGCGTGGTGTTACATGTCTCTTCTGTCCGGCAACGCTTGAGGAAAACGTGGTGCCACAGACCAAGACCGGAAGACTTCAAAAGCCGCCAGCAGATGATGCCTGGCAGCATCGTTCACGTACAGTAAGCGAAGTGTCGTAGGGCTGCGCCCTCCCCTCCCCTCGCCTCCTCTCCCCTTTGCCAGTATCTCGCGAGCGGCTTACATTGCGAGACTAGCAGCAATCAAGAGTACGGCTTTTGTGAGTCTTCCACATGTCGCAGACATCAGACGTCAGTTTGGGCAAACTCCGCTGTGGCCGTTGTCTGTGGTTTGGCAGATGCCATCCACCGTGGATTTGTTCGGTCATTGAAGCCTGAGTATCCAGTGCGCATTGAGTTGACCTTGCGGCGAGCACTTCCTATGGGCGAATACCTGCCAAGGACTATGCATGTGCACGCGAACAAGCTGCCGATGAGGGCTTGGTAGGCCCGGAGTGCTGAGTTGTTCTGTTTGCGTCTTGAAGCCTCTGGGTCCAGGGGCTAGGAAAGCAATGCTTCAGACATCAGGTGGACAACTACAAGTCAGCAGCTCGCTATCACTCGGCTTGTATAGGATATCCCGCGAAAGCGCATAGCCCAGAAGTGTCCGGTGTCGTCGTTATCGATGCTTCGAGTGCTCCAAGGCTTATTCTTTATATGCAAGCAAGTAGACATCTGCATGTGCCTGTGTGCACAATCGATGGACTGTACAGATCGCGACCTCTCTGTGTGTCTTTTGGTCGTTCCGTTTCTAAACATGTCTCTACGATATTGTATAGGGTAGTATAGCCATGCAAATGTCTGCGACTTCGACGAGGTGCCTTCCCTTCTTCGCTCTTCGGGCCTCTGCGCCGGCTCCTGGCTGGCCCAGCGCCAGTGCAGCGTGGAGCGGCCGAGGCGCGGAACCGCGCACCGAAGGACGAAGTACAGGTTAAAGCTGTTACATGCTGTCACTATGTCAGTACTAGTATGTACGGTAGTTGGTGATAATGATGCAGGTGTATGTAAGACAGTGTATGCAAATTTGTAGGAAGGGGGCATACATTGCCCGCCGAATCTATGAATCACACACAGAGCTTTGCAGGTCATATCGGCGTATGTCCATATTGTATCGATACCAGAGTCGACCTCTCACTTTATCTTGGCACGTGTCTGGATGGATCCACGGTTTAGGCTTGATCTAGCCATTGTCCGCCAGGTAGTGGCTGCGTGCTGCTGGGCTGCACACGGCCAAGCTAAGCACAGCACATGCTTGGCCTTCATAGTTCCAAAACGTCCCCTCTAAACCGAGCTCAGCATTGTTCAATCCATAGGACCAATCGCTATTCCAAAGACTAATCCCTTGTCAAATGCTTCCCTGCGATCTTGAAACTCGATATGGGCCGACAGTGTTTAGTACTAGCCGGCCTAGACCCCAAACGCGGAGGGAAGCATGTTCAGAGTCCTTCTACTGCCCCATTCCACACAGCCTCTGCGTCCTCGACCCTCCATGAGCACGACATGCAAGTCCCATTCGGCTCCAACAAAGGCGCCCGCGCATGCGGCGCTCCTCTCCTTCGTGGGCTCTTGGGCCTCGCACCCCTGCTGCCGGGGGCCTCATGAAGCTGAGCTTTTGCTTCGGGAGCCTAAAGCTTTCATAGCACATCGCATGGCGCTTTTTTAAAGTCCGAGCAAGAGTTGCGGCCCCAGGTTGAAAGTCGTGTCCTTCAGAGGGCCCGCACAAGGCTCACTGGGTTCCGAGCTGCTGAGGTGTAGGAGGGGTTTCGAAACCTTTGCTCTGCAACCCCCGGAAGTCTCGACACGTGCGATTCCGCATTCCCATCTATCAGTGTTCTTGTTAACGTTGCTGATACCTCCCCAATGGTCGTCATGGCTTGGGAACTAGAGGACGACAGCTCTGGTGGTGATCATGAATGGTGCAAGCAGGGTCTAGGGCACTTTCAGTCCGGGTTGGGGATTTCGGGATTTCGACAGCACTGATATGTCCAGATACGGGTCGTCAGATCCTTGGAAATTGTATAACAAGCTCCTGCACTGACAAAACTGTCAACCTTAGTCAAGCCGTATATAGCTTTACGACGGCCGCTTGCAGGCGCGGCCCGTGCGGCGCTGGCCGAGATGAGCAGCCAGAGCTGGAGCGGCTTTCGGGCGACCTGGCGGGCGCTGATGCAGGCCTTTTTGAGGTTCCGTTGGGTTTTGAAGCGTATTTTTGAGCCGGTTGTTCAGGACACTTCAAGATGGATGTCTGCCTCCCTTTCACGTAGCTCAGAGTTGGGAGCATTGCGACAATATGATAGTCTGCGGGCCCGCAGAGAGTTCCTGCAGAGGCCATCTTGGCCTCCAGCGGCGGCCGAAGGTCACCGGGTCTTTCGGGCATGGTCGACCAGGCGGCCTTGGAAGCTCCGCCGGTTGTAGGTCTTCCCAACCCGGAGCCGAGCAAGCGACCACTCAGGGCTCCGGGCAGCTCTTGGAAGTGTTCCGGGCCCTGGAGGACCCGGCAGGGCAGATTGCGTGATGCTTTTGCGGTTTTTCGGAGCCTCCTTGCTGAGTTGCTGACATTCGCTCGCCAGCACTTTGAGCCAGGGATGGCCTTACGCAGTGTGCAGGAGGTTTGGCCACAGCTCTCCGAGACCAGTGATGCCGCGGCAGCTCGGCAGGCCGTGAGTTCTCAACATGTCCCGAGCAGATGTGGGGTGTGGCTTCCAGGGATGCACATGCAATGCAGAGGAATGAGTCCCCGCAAGTCACATTCTGTTGAATGCTGATTGCGCCTGTCTTCTTGTTCTCTTGATTCTTGAGAAAGCTGGTGCTCGTGGTGCTGGCGACAGGGCGCCGCCCTCGTCAATGGTTGTCCGCATGATGGCCGTTTCACAGCCACGAAACGGCAAGACTTGCAGTTGCTGACAGCCTCGCCGGCCATCACACCCCAAAAATCCGTGGAGTCGCTATCCGCCAGCTTTCGTGTCCACCCCGGCACTCGAGTCAGCGTCGACTATCCTCAGAACGCCCACGTCGTAAATTCTCGGACGGCGCACTTCCTAGAGCAGCGATGGAAATGCTCCTGCGGGTCCTCATCGTGCCGGGCTTCGTGAGGATGTCCTCGATACGCGAGGAGCCCGCTGCAGGTTCACCATGAGATGGCAAGTCCGTCGAATTCTTGTCCAGAGGCTCAGCAGAGAGCACGGCCCTGATCGGGCAGCACGCAGCCAATTATGCCCAACGTTTGCTGTCGTCCTGCTCCACCTGAAGGCATTCGGGGTGTCCCATGGGACCTTGAGTAGCTAAGCTGCCAGCATCGCATCGACTGCCCTCAGGACGAAAAAGTTTCCCAGCTAATGCTGATGATGCTCGGGTAGGTGACTTTTTCACTGATGCACAAGCTGCCAGCACGTGCTCAGGACCAGAACGATTCCCAGCTGATGCTCACTCGCCGCTCACTGGGGTATCGTTATGCTGCAG